AAATTAATAATTTGCTACAAGTTAACAGAATGAAAAAAAATGAAGAGAAGCTGCAGACCTCAACTCAACTGGCTGCTGCAAACATTCCGAACGAGAATGACTAGATTTTCAAGATGAAAATCTGGGACACCTGACCTGGGGCAAGAGTACACAGGGGACTGTGTCAGAGGGTGATGGATGTATACGGCAAAGACTAAATCAAATGCTGAATCCTACTGTCTTCAGCCAAGCAATCTCCATCCCTCTGTCTCCATCATCTGAAGGATCTCACACGCTGTGTAGGGGAAAGGGTGGTTTGAGTCAATGGGAAGAAAAGGATGTCAACTTGTGACAGACCTTGAGAACCTCTTGTACTTATGCAGCCTGCTGTCAGTTTCACCAGCTCAGATGACCAATGGTTCTGAGATGGCCAATGTGCACAAGTTTTTAAAACTGGAACAACACTGGTCTTCAGGAACACACGGCCCTTCCCCATTTAGAATGGTACACAATATAGTTGGCTTTGAAACTGCCACATCTTCCAAAAGGTAAAATTTAAGTGAAGCTTTTTCTAGCTCTGTTAGTAGTTATATTTGTAATATAAATCATAATTCAGCATTTAAATTCCTTCTTATATTCAATGAGTTTTTGATCGCAAAGAGATATATGCAACAGAATTTAAAGAAAATAAATGAATTTGAAGTTCTTTGAAATGCAGGTTGCCAGATTCTGATCTGCGACACCACATCTACCATGAAAGTCTGCTGTAGACAGTACAGTGCATGCCCCCCCCCACATACTATTTTTACCCTTTGGAATATATACTCTAAATGGAAGCTTTTTGCAAAATTGCACAATATGAAAAAAAAGTCAACAATTAACCCAATTTGCCACCCCTCTTAGACTTGCATAAGCATGATGGGTGTGAAGTCATTAGCATAGTGGAATGCAGATTTACAAATGGCCTGATTGTCTGGATTTCAGGGGACCTAAAAGGTGAATGGGATTATAGAGGTACTTAAATCAGTTCAAAGGTGAACAGCAGCCTTTTGTTAATTATTTTCAGGACAAGTTCATCAACATTAATTTAATGGTTTTCAGGTTTTGTGACGCTACAGTATAAAGCTACAACTCTAAAGTGAGGTGCTCAATATCTGTGACATTTAAATAGATCCTTATTTTTCCAAACAATTGTAAAACCAACCATTTTAGTTTGTAAATCTAAAAAGCATATGAAATAGAAGAGGTAGTTTACAGTATCAAATACCACAATTTTCACTGCCACACCACTATTCATTTCAGCTTAAACACTCCTGAACCTCTCCTACAAAACTGGCCATTGTAGTATCTATGATTATGCAATATGAAAGCTTTGTAGTCTGCTCCAAAAGAAGACTTAAGTCATTAAGGTTGATGGATTTTTCTGAAATTCTCTGCAGTAGCTCCAAGAACTGTTTCTGGAAACAGATCTCTTTCGATTTTAGATGTGTGTGTAGGTAGTATGGGGTGACAGAAAGAGAGAGGATCAAAGGCATTAATATAACAGCTGAAAACCTGTTTATCAACCAAGAGAAAAAGGGAGGACTGAACTTTTCTGAGTGAACATTCACCCTTTGAAAGTTAACAAGGCCTGCCATTATCTGGAGAAAATCAAGAGAACAGAGGTCTACCTCAGGCCTTCCTCCACAGAGGAAGCATTTTAGCCTGCATTTCTTTAGCCTTCCTCATACAAAATGGGAAGTCTTTCCTTTAGGCAGCAAGGGACTTCTGAGAGTCCCAGTGGAGAGACCAAGTTCTGAAGGAGGAGATGAGAGGAGAAATGGTAGATACCAATATGCTAAGAATGAGGGGTCAGGATCCACATTCAGAAACATGAGAACCTCAGGCCTAAATGGGAAAAAAGGGAAACTAAGACAGTATCCCATATGCAGTGTCTGGACACCTTGAAGAGGAAGGGCCTTCCTTTAAGAGAAGAGGGTCCCACAGAGCCAAGTGGAGGAGGCAAACCCAAGTCTAACTGCCCTAGGGCAAGGGATAGCAATCAGTTTTAGAAGACATCCTTCTGAACTGATCACAGGCATACATTTTAGGCTACACAGCATGACCAATTAGAGCACAAGCAGCCCTAGATTGTGACACTAGACCTGTGATGTATGCTAAATAATCATAAGTAATCCCACTTTGGGGAGATGACTCCCAATTTCCCGTGCCTCTGCCATCAGATCAGAGATCCTCAACCCCTTCAACTGCTTGGAATGGAGAATATGACAAAGCTTCTTGAGACGTTTAGAAATTTTCCAATATATCACAAATTGCTGTATTCTGGAGCATCTCTCACACTTAGGGCTGGTCTACAGTGGACATTTTACCAATATAACTATGTAGTTTAGGGGTGTGATTTTTTCCAATTCAGCTATCAGTAAAAGCATGGATGCAGTTATACAGGTGCCTTATAGCAATATAATTTATTATACTGCTGACCAGAATAACCATATCTGTACAAGTACGTTTATAGCTGTGTAACTGTATTTACACTTGGGGAGATTTTCTGCTTTAACTATGCTGGCACTGTTAAAGTGGCAAAACTTTAAAGCACAGACAAGCCCTAAGGAAAGCAGTGCTCTTCTAAGTGATAGACTCCCAGGGCTAAATGTAACATTTTGCAGACGTGCTTAGTCAATTATGCTTAAAGTAGCCCCCTGTAGTGGGACAGCTAAATGGGGATTCTTCCACTTGCAAGAACATAGAATTTAAAAACAGGGTGAATTTGCCATAGAAGAAAGTTCAAAAAAATCAAGTTTTGTCACCACATATAAATCAGACATCTGACTTCTAGCAGAGGGTAAGAAAGATATTCTTACTGGTTGACTACATCACTTGCAAAGTTGGCTTCTACAGTCTAGGCCTTCAAGAACAACCACCTTAAGAGCTGAACCAGCTTCAGATACAAATTGGAGAGCAGGAATCAGGCATAGATCCCTTTTACCAGAAACAATGCTTTTCCAACTTGTTGATTTCATTCCATGTGTTACCTTGAACCTAGACTTCTTGATGTCTGGAGATGAGGTCAGTTGTACTCTTGGAAAGTTCTTATGTGAATTTATTATGTTAATTTCAGTGACTCCTTTCAGTAACTGCATATTTCAAAGAATGAACTTGATGCATGCTTGTGTCAGACAGATGCAACATGCAATTTTCCCAACAGTTGCATATTTCTGAACTAAACTTTTTCGCAAGCCATGTCAGAAGCCCTTGTTTTCACCAAGGTTCAACTTCATGGCAAGTTAAAATTCTGTTTTCTTCAACTGAAACAGCACAGAAAATTTTAGTGCAAAACAAGTCATACTTTATGGAACAGAAACAACCTGAAAATCTGAGCTTGAAATATAATGGCAAATTAGTAAATACACAAAAAAGTCACTGTTGCTATTTGCGGTGGAATAGAATCAGGACATTGGTAGGTTTGAGCAAAGCTACCTATGGAAACACAGGTACCTAAGGGGTTAGACAGCAACTGAGCAGGAGTTTTGAGAATGTCAATAGTGCCTAAATGTTGGACTTTTGCTGTTCAAGAGGCAAATTGTGGATCTAGTTCCTCGTACCTTTCACTAGTACTAATTTTTTTAAAGAATTTTAATCATCTAGTGTCTCTTTAAGAGACATCTGTTAGAGAACGGTTTTCTAGGCAATAAGAAATACATTACATAACCATAGTTTTAGTACTTGAATGTTTTTTAAAAATTAAAGTTACATAAATACCGAAAACGATACATAGTAGACTCACTGACTCATGAATTACTTGGAGGCAGCTTGCAGCCTAACAATTCTTGAAAATTATTAGCTGATGAATTAAGATAGTTAGATAATTGGGCAGTTATAATTAGTAATAGTTAAGTATCACCTACATATACTGTTTATAGTTTATAAAAAGTAATTAAGGCAGACTTCACCATTACATTCTATTAAATCTTTGAGATGTGGAGCACACAGTTTTTGTCTGGACGAATTATTAGATTAACTAGGTTCTGCTGCTAGGCTTGTCAAATCCATGCACCCCTTGTCAGGTGGTGTGTAGTGAATGTTCCATAGCAAGTGGTGGGTTTACTGATCAACTTTTGTAGAATTTAAGCTTTCATTTAAAAAAGCTTCTAGCCTTTGAGGGTATTTCTACATTGCAGTAAAACACCCACAACTGGCCTGTGTCAGCTGACTTGGCTGGGGATGCAGGGCTATAAAATTGCAGTGTAGACATTTGTGTTCAGGCTGGAGCCCAGGCTATGGGACCTTCCCCATCTTACAGAGACCCAGAACCTGGGCTCTAGCCCAAGCTCAAATGCCTATCAGATTTCAAGGTAGTACTGAAATTTAGATAACATTTTAGTTTCAAACAGAACTGGTCTGGGCATTAGGTTTGTCCTTCTAAACTGGGGCATTTTTACCTAGTCTGTGTCACACTGTAAACGACTGCCACATACTTAGCAAATGAACCTAAACAGGCCTCTAAGTTTGATTTCGCTCAGCATCTAGACTATTGCAAACGGTGGACAAATAAAGCATTAACACTACTAAGGGTTATAATTGTATTCTTCCAGAGTTTGAATTTCAAGATATTATTCAAAGGCTTAAGTAACTCAGTTATATAACAAAAGGACATGGTAGCATCAAATCAACAAGTTACAAAGAAGTGTTTTAAAACTAATTCCTCATGTAGAAGGATGAATGTATAATGTTCCTGAATGGTAAAGGGTAAATTTTTAGAAAGGATTTTGTGCCCATAAAACAAATTGTGGGTGCAAATCAAAGGAAGAGCACTTGGTTCCTCTAATTACAAGAATTACACCTAATGTGCAGTACATATACAACAGGCACTGGGGGGACAAAAATGTGACTACAAGCTTTGTGGATGGAAGCTATGCCTGTAAAAGAGAGACTGTTCTTCTGAAAATATATTGCTTACATTATTGCTCCAATGTCACCAGTATCTTAAAAAATCCCAGCCATCAAAAGTTATATCCACTTACCATCATCTAGTGTGATGTCTTGCAATCCAATTGTTTGAAAATTCAATTCTTGATCTTCAGGTTCTGGTTTAATGTTAACAGCTACCCCGTCTGATGAAAATGGAGATGATTCACATACACTGTGATGTACTAAAGATGAAGCTGCATGAAGACCTCCCAATCCAGGACTATGTTCTTGAGGGGAGTGTTGTCCCGAGTGACTTATAGCTGTTGGGGGAGGGGATGAGGCAGGTCCTGAGCTAGGAGACTGGTATGGCATAGGTTGTAGCTGAGGAGAAGCTGGCCCGGACAGTGGCGAATGGACCAAAGGATGGGAAGCTGTTGGGGATGGTGATGAAGCAGACCCTGGGTTTGCAGAATGGTATGTGACTTGCTGCAACTGAGGGGAAGGTTGCCCAAGGGGTTGATTCATTGCAGAAGAGAGAGAACCCTGCCCAGTATTTGGACAGTGGTATCCCATTGACTGCAGATGAGGTGATGATTGTCCTGAATGAGCTGGATGTGCCAAAGGATGCCCTACTGTACATGAAGTTGTCACTGAGCCAGGATTTGAAGAATGGTACTGCATTGGTGGCAGAGGTGGGCAGCTAAGATTTATCAAATGAGGTACAGCTGCATCTTGTTGAAATGAAATAGTGTCAAATCCTTGGCTGGAGGCAGAGTTCATGGGAAGACCAGGTTGCCCATTGTACATAACATTAGATTGCATAGGCTGGTAGGAAGGCCTCACAGGAGGTGTTGATGTTACTTGGAAAGACTGGTGAACCACAGCAGGCAAAACATGACACTCATCACCTGGACTGATGTTTCTACCTTGTATGTGAGACAGATGGGATACTGCTGATGTCACCATGGATGTATACGGTTGCTGAACTGGGCACACGAGGCTCCTGGGTGATGTAGACAGTAAACTATCGTGCGGGTGCCCTGGATCTGCTGAAGACAGCCGAGTTCGGATGGAGTGCAGGCCCTGAACGCTGCCAGTATGAGGCAGGGACAAAGATGGAACAGCAGTCAAATCCATTTCATCTCTGTGCTCTTGTTTCATTAAAACTAGAAAAATGAATAAAAATCAAAGTTATACCTTACAATTCTACTTCACTATAATGTGACTCAGTACATACTTTAATTACATAGCACTTATGTGTAAATGCCATGCCACTACTGTTGTGTTTCTTATATACTCGACTAGTTTTCCTCACTGCTTACCATTCTTTTTGTCTCACTCTTAATTTCTCTTCCATTCTTGAATTTGTTCTTCTTGTCATGCTGGCTGGCCTCTATGCCTGAAACATTTTCCCTTTTCTTATCTACTCAGTGTTTTCCTTCAGCTCCCTCTTTCCTCATCAGTAACCCCCAGGTTCTCTATCTTCTGAACTATTGTCCTATGCTTTGTATTGGCTTGGGGGGAGTTGGGTGGTTACTGTACCATTACTGGTCAGGGGACTAAGCTCAGTAGACTTGAGTTAATAAAGGACACTGGGGGCCAACTAGTGAGCATCACTGACAAGGTTCTGACAAGAAGTTCAGCACCAATCCCCACATACAGGGGAAAGGGTTATGAAACTATTACCAGAGGCTCCAAATTATACCTCTGCAGATCTAAAAGTAAAAGTTTTGCCAGCACAGCTATGTTGGCTAGGGGTGTGATTTAACTATGCCAGAAGATCCCCTACTGTTGACCCAATTATACTGTCAATTATACACCATAATGACATATTGCAAAGCTGGAAAATACTAACTAAATACATTAATTCCACCAAACATTAACAAATAAATCTTGTAACAGAGCCTTAGGAAATAAACAGATATTTCTTTATGCAAACATGTATTTTCCCTTTTAACCTTGGAAACTAGAGGCAAGATCCAACTACTTCAGTTCTGAAGTAAACCATTTCTGGGTATTCCAGAATATGAGACATGGAATGTATAAGACAGCAAATTCACAGGTAAGAAGAAAGTTTTCCATTTACCTCCCCTCTCCAGTCTGACAGTCTGTACAGTGGAATGTGATAGAGGAGTAGCTAGGAATGAAAGTTTGGATAGGCCCCAATTATGGGGAACAGGCAATGACCAGAAAGCTTGGCTGAACCCCATTTCCTATTCCCGCTCTCCAGCCTCCATCACCTGCTATGTAATGTGCTGTTCCCAATACCACAGAAACAGCAGCCCCTGTTCTTCTCTGTCCTACTCTAACACCTGCTGCCTCAGCTGCACAACTCCCCATGTGTGGGGACTGTCAGGAAGCCATATAGGTCTCTGCAGGGCAGCTCTAGTAGTGTGCCCCGGCCTCTCTATTGGGTGGAGGAGGCAGTTACTGATTGATCTGGAACAGATGATGAAGAGGAGAGGGCTCTCACTGTCCTTGCCAGAGTCCTGGAGCAATCTACCACATGTGCTGCTATTACAGGAATTAGAGGGGGTTCACGCAGGCTCATATTCAGGTGGGCTTGGATGCTACTGGGTGGGGTCATGGCCTATCCCAGGCCCACCTGTGGCTATAGTCCTGGGATGTGCAAAGAAGCATTTATCCCTAGTTTGGGAGGAGGATTCAAACCACATACAGTAACTCCTCGCTTAATGTTGTAGTTCCTGAAAAATGCGACTAAGCGAAACGATGTTAAGCAAATCCCATTTCCCCATAAGAATGAATGTAAATGGGGGCGGGGAGGGGGTGTTAGGTTCCAGGGAAATTTTTTTCACCAGACAAAAAACTATATATTATGTAGATATACACACAGTATACGTTTTAAACAAACAATTTACGATTCTATGATGATTGTGAAGCTTGGTTGAGGTGGTGAAGTTAGAGGGTGGAAGAGGGAGGACTATTTCCCAGGGAATGCCTTGCTGCTAAATGATCAACTAGCACTTGGCTGAGCCCTCAATCGTTAACTCATTGTCTTTTAAAGTAGCCTCTCATCAAGGCAGCACGAACAGGAGGAAGGGGAGACAGCATAGCAGACAGAGACACACACCTTGTGTGTGGGAGAGAGAGAGATGCTCACTGCCCCTTTAGGTAAGCTGACCCACTCTTAAGTGCATTGTCTTTTAAAGTGGATCAGGAAGTTCAGACAGCAGCTGCTGCCCCAAGCTGTCTCTGTCTCTCTCAGTCTGTATCCCCTCCCTGCTCTATATGGAAAAGGGTAAGCGGGCTGCAGGAGCAGGGGGGAGGGGGACACCCTGACATTAGCTTCCAAGAAAAAAAAAGAGGTGAAGCTCAAAAGAGGTTCCCTTAAGTAGGTCATTGTTGACCTTAATGGAATCAACAATTAGCCCTCAAGGAAGTATTTGTGGACTTGAGTGAAGTTGCTGGATCTCAATTTGCACATCAGATAATGGTAAGGTTGATTTTGAGGGCCCTACAAACAGAGAACTCTATTTTGAGGAGTCTTTCTGCCCGAAGGAATAATGGAAGAAGGTTCTCTATTCATTTGGATTGGAATGGCACTCAAGTTTTCTTGCCCCAGCTCACTCCTCTAATCCCATAAGCACATTTAGTATATAGCAATGCAGGAGGAAAAAACACCCCAAAAACTCACTTTGGTTTGCACTGAAAAATCTGAAGTGCTACAACAGCGCATGCATGCTATTCTAGCAATCAAAGCTTTCCAAAGTTCCACCAATAATGAGGCATGCCTATGCACCCATAAGTATGGATATGTGGAGGCAATAATTATATCTTTTTTATACAAACACCTAGAATGATTCCCCCCCCCTCAAGATGCTTATTACCACGCCTACACAGACTTATTTCATATTTCCTTTTAGCTCCAGGGTTCTTTTAAAAACAGCCACAGAATTGTAGGTTCACACATTCTTCAATAATTTGAGTCCCCCTGCTTCTTTTTTAAGCCAAAAGCCATGGGAAACCCATAATCAGGGGCTGTTACTTATAAGCACAACAGCTTTTTCCTGCCAACACCTGTACCAATCAATTACTGGCTTACAGCAAGCATGTTAAAATGAAAACAGGAAACCCTTCAAGTGGGTGTTAAGGGTTGCCGTAATATAGCTTCAGTTATAACTTCACTTCCTTTTTATTTTGGACACATTTTAAGCTGGTATGTTCTATTACTCATTCCAATATTTCAAGGGTAGGTTTTTCAGTAAAGAGCCAGCTTACGATTATTTTGGTGTACTTTTGGTGTAAAATAACAATTCAGTTGTCAGTCTACAGTGCCTGTTAGGAGCATCCATTAGTTTTCTGATATATACTTGTGTATGTCAAGTCCTCCAATTGCACATAAACAGCGTGTACAAAGCAATGCTGAAGGGAACTTACACTTACAGCTATCATTGGTTCTTGATGAACTCCTGACTGCTCTTTACAGTCTATTAGGAACTTTAAATCCACTTGAAAAGCCATCCAAAAAGAATATATGTTACATATCTGCAGTATGGTTTTCCCCAATACCAATAACACTGTTGCTAAGACAGATCAACTACAGTATGCCATTCTTACAAAGTTCCAAGACTAGCTCTCTCCACACTGCAAGATGTCTATGGAGTATTTTTTTTTTTCTATCTCATCTGAACTCCAAAGTTGTATTTTGACTATTGAGAGAAAGACTGGCGTCGCATAAACTGGGGATGATCTATTCTTCTATCATCTGTGACTGTACTCCTGGAATTCACTACATAGTATCACTAACTGGAGACACAACAGAATCATGAAAAACAGTGACCACTGAGAATTCACACTCCATGTGGCCAAAAAGCTATAGGAATAAAAGAATTGAATAATGTTGTAAAAATATAATTGCCAAAATAGAAATTCTTAACCCTATTCATATTATTTCACACTACTACATTGGATTCAAGTTTCTGCTATGAAATTAGACAAATTCTTAATTGGCAATTCACAAATTGAAAAAAATTAGTCACATCTACTTATCAAAGGGAACATATTTTGTATGGTATCTATGAAATACACTTTTTAAAAAATTACTAAAATTTAGTGTACACTAATTAGCTTACAGTAAGATGCAGTAGCTGTGTGTACCTGGTGTATAAGTAAAACGTTGAGACTGGCTTTTTTTCCTCTTCCCATTGCAAAGATAAAACTGCACCTGGACTGCAGCTGTAATCGTTTTGTTATGGTACGGAGGAACTTCAAGAACAATGTTAGCCTAAATTAAAGTTGAAACAAGATAGCATTACATTTAAAATGTAAATGAAATACACCTGTTAAAGAATACTGCTTGAGTACTGACTGCAATGTTAACTCAAATGGGGATTTTTAGTTGGATGAAGCTATTGCTTCATGCATCTTCTAAAAAGTAAAGCAGAAACATAACAAAATATGATTTAAGACCTGTGATGCAGGAGACATTTTTGCATATTCTAGATATTACATTTTTATTTAAAAATACACTTATGTGAAGTAATTTATCTTCATGAGCATATGAATGCCATGGTAGCAGACACTAAACTTCATGCTGCTCATCTCATTGGCAGGAGTCTAATGCAATTAAAATTACTTCTCACCTTAACAGTTATTCTACATTTCCCCTTTTAGTTTTTCAAACAAGTTTATCATTTCGTTTTCTTAGGAAGCAGCAACCTAATAACTGCTTTATACTGTTACGACAATTTAGAAAAAGTCTTCAGATGAAGTAAACTGCAAAACTTGTTCATGTATCCTATTAATCATTTACTTTATAGTAAAAGTTTAAACTGAAAAACAAGACAATGAAGACCAATTTCTTTCTTTAGAAATCTGTTTCTTTTTCTTAAGTAAGAAAAATAAGTTTCTCACCCCTTGACACTTTTCCCTAATTATTTTCCCTTCTACTTCCCACTGAGGTCGTCCATCTGTTGAGAGAAATTAAGTTTACAAGAAATTCAGGTGAAAAAGCATTTTCTGAAAGTGAATGCAATTCAAAATATTAAAGTTCAGTTACTGTAAACAGATTCTAAGATTCTTAAATGTTCTTACTGTTGGAAACATCCAAGGTTCTTTATTTACTTTAATATAATCTGATCAAAGTTTCCTTTACAAACAAATCTATATCACTAAGGATTTCTGCATAGATTATATTATGAGTTGACACCACAGTCAAAGAGCACATGTAGTTCTTTACACATATTCTTTAAACAGGATGAGAAAATTCAGGTTTTCCACTATGATTTTAAAATATCAAGTAAATTAAAATTAATTGTAAAATTTAATGGTCACATCCTTAACTGATGTGTATTAGTGTTAACATACTGTGTCATTTAATATAAGCTGAATATCTCGCCCATTCTACTTAATTTACATGGACTAATTAAAATCTGTTTAAATATATTTATAAAAAATACATTAATGAAAAAAGCATGATGATACTTGTTTTAAGGTAAAAGCTATTACATAATGTGATAAAAATTAAATAAATATTTCTAATTCCAGAAGCAAGCATGTGTGTACACACCCCCCCCCCACCCCACCCCCCCCCCCCATTACCTTTTGGTAGAAGACAAAAAAGAAAAACCAGAGATCCAACTATTCATAGATGTCATACACTACCAGTAGAAAGCTGAAGGATTGCTTTTAAGTTTGTGTCATGTTGCACGAACCACCATAGGACAAATACCAGTATGTAATTAAAAACAATAGTACATACAGGATACTTAAAACACAAGCATTAGGGAGCTAGTAACTTTTCAACAGTGTCTACAACAAAATTAGACTAAAAAGTCATATTTCTTACATTTCAGTGAAAAGGTAGGACTACTTTTGCCAATACATATACAACTAAGTTACTTCAATCATACAAGCAGTGTGATTGACTACCATGGTTTTACTTGCATAAGTCAGGCTATTCACATTCAGATATTTGCAGATTCAGACCCTTAACTATCAGTCATGTATTACACAGTTTTGAGCAAGTTTTATACAGAACAGTTTTAGTGCTAACCATACCAGAGAAGCTTTCTTGGGAATTTAATCATAAAACTTTAAAAAAAAAACCCGACAACCCACATTTGTCCTAAAAAAAAATAGAATTTTTGTGCAATAAATTATTTGAAAAAATGAAAAAGCTGTTGCAAATCGTAAGGAATCAGAAATGGTTCTTCAGAACTATTTTTACTGTTAAAGGTATTGTTTTAATTTAGAGGGTGAAGCCTTCTGTTCTCTAGGGTAACAAAGTATAAAGGGGTTGTTTGCCAAGACGCACCATGTTTAAAATCCTTCTCTTTTCAAAGCTATTTACGTAAGTACTAAATATATAATTGCGCATAATGCTAAAAATAGAGTGCTAGAAGAGACAAAAGGACATATATTGATAGAAAACATTGAGGCTGAAGATGCCAAAGAGTTAATCCTACAATCTTGCATAAGATAATCAAATAAGTAACATGAAACATATTGGAGGCCTTATTAAAGATGCAAATAGAAATACTCAGTACAGAACAACAAAATAAAAGATGGGCAGAATAGTTTCAGGCTGTTTTACATAGACCAAGCCCAAGCAAACTACTAGAAATACAAGATAAAGATCTATCACTAGAGCTTGATATTGATTTAGGAGGTATTACAATAGTTAGAAAATAGTTAGAAAAGCCATCAGTAAACTCAAAAATGGGAAAGCAGCTGGGGAGGATAATGCTACTACAGAGATGATTAAAGCAAGTAACGAAACAGCCCTACAGACTTTCCTTGTGTTTATGGATAGACTATGGAATGAAGAAAAAACCCAACCCAGTGTGAGAGCGAGAGAGAGCGAGAGCGTGTTATCGCAGAAGAATCACATTACTCTCAGTTTCTGGGAAAAAGTGCAACATCAACTAGAAAGTAATAAAAGGCCCTGCAATTTAGAGCGGAACAAGCAGGTTTTAGACCACTAAGATCATGTGCAGACCATACTGCTGTTCTCAGACATATTAAAGAAAGGCATAGCAAGCATCTCGTGATAAATTTTGTAGATTTATGGAAGGCTTCTGACAGCCTACACAGAGGGTCAAAAATTATAACACTACAGAATACCAGCAAAAATAGTTAGAATCATCCAAGATCTATGTGATAATACCAAATGTGCAGACAGAGATGGTGACATCAGTCACCATGGTTTGCTGTGATGACTGGACTAAGGCAAGGGTATATTATGTCCTAACTATTTTTTGCACTTGTCTTTGACTATGTCATAAGGGAAATAACCACAGAATGCAAGGGATTTTATGGACAAACGATAAAGTACAATTGGATGACCTTGTTTTCGCTGATGACATTGTTCTGCCTTGTTCAACATATTGCTTAATGGAAGAACAGACCCAGCTTTTTGGCAGATAGAGCAAAGCAAGTCAGTTTGGTCATCAACAAGAGGAAGACAAAATATATGGCTATCAATGTCCCAAAGTATCCATTAGAGAGGATGAAAAAACACTAGAAGTAGTAAGTCATTTACCTATCTAGGAGTGATATATGCAACAATTGTGACTAGCATGCTAGATGTCAAGCAACAAATATCAAAGCAGCAAACAACTTTTATTAACTTAAAAATATTTGGAAAAGTAGCATGACTGGTACTAACACAAAAATAAGAATTTTCAACATCAGCATCATGTCTGTCCTCCTTTATGGAGTACAGCCATGGAAATCTACAAAAGAAATTGATACGATCAATTCAAAACAGCCCTACAGACTTTCCTTGTGTTTATGGATAGACAATAGAATGAAGAAAAAACCCAACCCAGTGTAAAAAAGAGAGAGAGCGCGCACACGTGTACGTGTTATCGCAGAAGAATCACATTACTCTCAGTTTCTGGGAAAAAGTGCATCATCAACTAGGAAGTAATAAGAGGCCCTTCAAATTAGAGAGGAACAAGCAGGTTTTAGACCACTAAGATCATGTGCAGACCATACTGCTGTTCTCAGACATATTATAGAACAAAGAATGGCATAGCAAGCATCTCATGTGATAAAGAGGGCATCCTAGAGGAATATTATGTAGAATAGAAAAAGTAGTAATCTATGAACATGACACTCAAACCCGAACAGATCAGCACAAGACTGGAAAATGGCGGAAACCAGTGGACACCTTATGCAACTGAGGGTGCAGGACAATGAAAAAGAAAAATGCTATATTACAGATAGGCAATGAGAATTAGAAAACAGTTTAAGGGAACTGGCATTTTAAGGAAAAGGTCATAATTCTTTTTGATTTTTAGACCTGTATTAATTTTCAGAGGGGGGGGGAGAGAGAGTAGGAATCTTGTCAAGAGGATGAAGTTAACTGTTTTTAAAATTACTACTCCCCCACTTTATGACACAAGTCAAGAAGTTCTAGTATTATTCACTATTGCAAGTATAAAGAATATTTACTCAAACAGGTAATATTGTATCTGATAGGAAGAGAGTAACCAACCCTTAATTTTCTTTCTATTAACAACTTCCTTTAAAATATTTATGTACTAGACTGGATAGTAACCTGGGGTGGGTGTTTGCCTTCCTCTGCAGCATGGATCACGGGTCACTTGCAGGTTTAAACTAGAATAAATGATGGATTCTCTGTAACTTGAAGTCTTTAAATCATGATGTGAGGACTTCAGTAACTCAGCTAGAGGTTATGGGTCTATTACAGGAGTGGGTGGGCGAGGTTCTGTGGCCTACAGTGTGCAGGAGGTCAAACTAGATGATCATGATGGTCCTTTTTGGCCTTAAAGTCTACGACTTTTAGGTCTGTAATAGAGTGACCAGGAGGTTGAAGTGTTCTCCGACTGGTTTTTGAAAGTTATAATTCTTGACATCTGATTTGTGTGCATTTGGCCAAACCTGAAAGTCTCTATGAAAAAGAATAAATGGATACAAATCAGACGTCAAGAATTATAACATCCAAAAAACCAGTCGGAGAACACTTCAACCTCCCTGGTCACTCTATTACAGACCTAAAAGTTGCAATTATTCAACAAAAAAACTTCAAAAACAGACTCCAATGAGAAACTGCAGAACTGGAATTAATTTGCAAAATGGACACCATTAAATTAGGCTTGAATAAAGACTGGGAGTGGATGAATCATTACACAAACTAAACTATTTCCCCATGCTAATTTTCCCCCTACTATTACTCACACCTTCTTGTCAACTGTTTGAAATGGGCCATCCTGATTATCACTGCAAAAGTTTTTTTTCCCTCCTGCTGATAATAGCCCACCTTAATCGATTAGTCTCATTAGAGGTGGTATGGCAACACCCATATTTTCATGTTCTGTGTGTATTTTATCTATATCTATCTTCCTACTGTATTTTCCACTGCATGCATCTGATGAAGCGGGCTTTAGCCCACGAAAGCTTATGCTCAAATAAATTTGTTAGTCTCTAAGGTGCCACAAGTATTCCTTGTTCTTTTTGTGATTAATGTAAGTCTTGGGAAGTGTTATGAGCTTCAAAGGACTCTGAAACAACGTGCAAGACAAAGTTAAGTGGGATTCCTATGAAATACTTAAGAGGGGAAGCCAACTTCTCTCCTCTGGACCCATTCTTTTGCACGCTGCACCCTGAGCAGAAACTCACTGTCTGCTGATCACCTGTTACACAAGGACAAAACCAGAGGCCTGAACTGGAGAAAAGTGCGATTCTCAGATTCATGGGTGTGCCTGTTCTGAACCAAGGTAGTTATAAATTTGTGACCACTGAAAAACTCCATGGTGGGGTCTGAAGGATTCTTCACCTGGTTTGAATCAGGAGGTAATCTCTGGTAAGTTTATTTGCATGCATGTAGTTTCTTTATTGTTTTTAATATCTTTTCTTTGTAATGATTTTACCTTAAGAATAAATATATTTGGTTAGAAAGAAAGGTATGGCAACATATTGGTGGACAATTATGTTGTTTATG